ATGCAGCACTTGAAAATATGGCTCCATCTGTAATAAATACTGCATTTTAATTCCTGTCGGGTGCTTGTCCATCACAGAATGGTGCCGAAGAGTGATTGTGCTTCCCCCAGAGCATGCCAACCCATGGCGCCTTAACTGAGAACGGTCAGAAGAGGGAGTGCCAGAAACCAAAGAGAATAGGATGGAGCCTCTGGAAGCGGCCACAGCAGCTGATGCAGGCTGACTCACAGCTGTTCCTAATATGCGGGGGCCACGTACAGGCTTGACACAAGCGGGCCATTCTGGCAGACTATGGCGTGACTGGAGTGTGGCATTTGAGTCACCATGAGGCTTTGGCTGGTGTCATTCAGCCCTGGCCATGTGACCCTCTGTGACTGTGACCTACACAAGCAGAGCTTGGGCACTCCGGATTTGCAGAAATAGCCTGAGACAGGTATTGAATTATTGGAGAGGGTTTTCCCTCTTTATCATGTGAAACAGATATAAATCTTGGCCCATAAACGCACTTGTTCAAGAATTACGCCATCATTTCTGTGGGTCCCTTGGTCTCTGAGGTTTCCATCCCATCTCTGGCACACTGGGACTTACGTGGTGACAAGGCGTGGAGGGAGAGAGAACATTTGGTCTTCGGTCATGAGTCCAAACAAGTGACCACTGAGACATCAGCTGTCCCTATCTACGTGTCCACATTCAGATTTGTGATTTGGTGGCTATTTCAAAGTGCTATTCTTTGAAAAATGAACCTTTGTTGTGTTTTGACTTAGACTATCCTGACTAGAAAAGGTGGGTAAGTCAATTTCTGCCCATTCCGAAGTAGTAAATGGTGCCACAGCTAACCCCATTGAATTTTACACCGAGGGACTGAGAATCTTGACAACTGCCTCAGGCTGACCTGCATTCTGGAAAGACAAATCAAGAAGAATCTCTCTTTCCTCTGGATCTTTCCTTTTCTGCCTCCCTTTCCCCACATTCCATCCAGTCTGCACCACAGTGATTGGCTAGTAGGGGGTCTGTAGTGTCCAACATAGCAGGTTCTGGGACAACGGCTGTAGCAGTTGACTTAGTTGGGTTTTCTCTGTTCAGTGGGCATGGGGCTGGTAATATGACATTGTGTGTCCCACTGAGTCTTTGAAAAAGTGGGACATACAAGAAATTTTGGATTGGATCAATTTGCCTAAGGAGTGACACCCATTCTAACGAGAGCCTAGGCAGCAGCCTGAGGAAACCCAGGCACTTGATTGAGATCCTCCTGACTAAACCAGGGCAGGTCAAGAAATTAGGGAGGGCAGAATTTTGGATTTGAATTCTGTTGGCTTATTTCATATACGTGATTTCACATTTGGACTTTTAATTCTCACTGAAAATCTAATTACTGGAGGTTTTGTTAAAATTGGAACATTTTTATATTACTGACATTTTTTATTTAGACTATTTTATGCTATTAGTTGGGCTTATTGCAAAACACAGTGTTTTTCAAACTTTTTTCTTAATTTACGACAGGCAGTAGTGAAATGCAGTATACATCATGGCCCTATAATTGAAATACAACGTACAAAATAAAAACATCTCAGCCTGGGTTCCCCTGGAAGCAGAGCCTGTGACAAAGGCTTGTGTGTAGGCAGTTTATTTGGAAAGTGACACTAGGGAGCAGGAGTGGGAAGCAAGAGGAGCGAAACAGGACAGACGAGCCAACACAGCGTGCGTCAGAGTTAACCATTGCCATGGTGACGGCGCTCCATCTCACAGGACCGCCTGAGCAGCTCACGAAATGAAGCTCAGAACCATCTCCTTGGGGGATTGACGCCTGCCCCACTCTGGGCTCCACCGTGTCCTATGGGTGTTAACTCCCCCTCCTCCCAGGGTGCACCATCATGTGGCCCCTGTGTGGACTTGCTCAAAGCAGCAGGAATAAGAGGTGGAACAGGAGGACCTGAAGTGGCCACAAGGGGGGTTTAATTAAGGTGTTTACCCTTACCAAGTGCCATGCACTCTGTATATTGTATTCTACTCTAGTTCACACACACACATACACACACACACACACACACACACAAGCTAGTTGAGGCCCACTAGCCAGTGGTTCTCAAAGTGTGGGCTGGAGACCCTGTTTCAGGGGGTCTGTGAGGTCAAAACCATTTTCATAATAATACGGAGATGCTATTTGTCTTTTTCACTCTCATTCTCTCATGAGCATGCAGTGGAGTTTTCCAGAGGCTTTGTGACATGTGGTACCAGAACAGACTGAATGCAGAAGCAGATATGAGAACCCAGCTGTCTTCCATTAAGCCAGATGTTTAAGAGATCTGCAAAAACGTAAAACTCTACTCGTCTCACTAAATTTGTTCTGAAAGTTATTTTTCATAAATATCTTAAATATATCAAAATGTAATAGGTTATCATTTATAAACAAATATTTAAAAAATTTCTATTTTAATGTCTAAATATAATCTGCATACACAAAAGCTCTTTCAGGCTCTCACTCTTTACGAGTATAAAGGAGCCCTGACATTAAAAAAAAAAAAGGTGAGAATCGCTGCACTAAACTGATCACGACCCTCAAAAGAATTGCAGCACATAGTCTGAAAAACAGTGGCTTCACCTCTTACGAGCTATCAGGACAACACGGCTGGGAAGCAGAATGAAAAGTTAATTTGAGGTTTAAAGTGCAGTGCAGTACTGGAGTTAATTAAGGTCCTTTTGCGACCCACTTCAAAACCTTCTTGGGCCCATGACTGGCCCTAGGGGAATACAAAGGGATAACGTTGATCCAGGCAGGAGTCTCACAGAGGTAGGAAGAGGACTGCTTTGACAACTGCCACCTTCTCCAAAGTGAACCACCAGTCCCCTGGGTGACCACAGACTCAGTTAAGTCCAATCGATTAAGGCAGAAGTTCTCACCCCTGCCTGTATGTTATGTGTCTGGGAGACATTAAAAATTCCCCTGCCTGGACCCCACTCCAGACCAATGAATCAAAATTTCTTGGGGTGGGGCACAGGTGCTATTCTTTTCACTGATGTATAACTTACATCAAGAGCACAAATCTTAATGATATAACTCTTATTTTTTCAAACATGTTATACCCAGGTGACCACCACCCAGATCAAGATATAGGGCATTTCCAATGCACCAGCAGGCTCCCTCATGCCACCTTCTAGTTAATACCACTATTCTAATATTTATCACCACAGATTAATTTTTCCTTATTTTGAACTTCATATAAATGGAATCATACAGTACATATTCTTTTATGTCTGGTTTTTTTTCGCCCAACATTACGTCTGTGATATTCATTCGTGTTGTTAGGTAGAAGAGTAATTCATTCTTGTTTGCATGGCTGTGTGGTTTTCCATTGTATACACAGATCACAATTTATTTACCTTCTACACTTGATGGAGTTGGCTGGTCCCCTCAAACTGCTCTTAAATGAGGTGACATGTCATGCTCTTACCTTAAAAAATACAGGAACTGGGACAAACAAGGGAACAGGAACAGCAGATTTGTGTCATCCATCTCACGCTTACGGGGCAGGGATATGGGGATTGAAATGGAAGTCCTAGTTTTCCCAACTAT